TCGCGCCTGCTGCGCGCCCGGCGGCCGCAGAAGAGGCAGCGCGAGGCGGGCGGCAGCAGCAGCAGCAGCAGCAGCAGCGAACTTTCTCCTTTGTTGGGAAACTTGGGCGCTCTTGCTCTCTCGCCCGCCCCAGCCGGGAGGCGGGGAAACTGAGGCCAGGCAGGTGGCGGCGCTCGGAGCCCGGGGAGTGGGGAGGGGCAGGGGCGAGGAGCCACCCAAGCCTGAGGTAAGAAACCCTCGGAGAGCCTCTGCCCCTAACGCCGAGGTGGGGAGCCGGGGAGAGAAGGGGGCGGCAGAGGAGGAGGAAGAAGGGGGCCAGGTTGTGTGGGGAAGACCTCTGGAAGGGTGTGTGTGTGGAGAGGGGGGCACAGAGGGGTTAAAGGTCACGATTCTGCGAGAAGTTTGCAGCCCGAACCCAAAGGCGTTTAGCCCTGACCCTTTTGCTCTGTCTATGGGAAGCCGGGGGGAGAGAGTTTTTTTTTCTTTTGCCTTATATTGTGTAACCTCCTCAGCTGTGTAGAAAGTGAGCGGCGTAGCTTCCGGAGGGGACCCGCCAGTCGGCTCTTGCAAAGAGCCCTTCCAGATAAAGCTCCTCGGGAGTCAGCGTGTGCCTCCTGGCCCGAGGACAGCAGTGCTTGGGATCGAGCTCCTCCTTGGGTTACCTTGGCAGCAGACTTTTGGCTAAGGGCAACACCTGCCGGGTGGCCCGCCTGACAGCTGGGTTGCTGAGCCTTTCTCTGGGCACCAAGCTGCTTCTTGGAGGATAAGATCCCGGTGTTTCAGAAAGGGACCCTGCAGGTTTCAAGCGCATCCCTGTTGGTGTCCCTGACTATGTTTGACTGTTGCACTCTGCAGGTTTTCCAGCAGTCCTTCTCTCTAGCTGGGTGAGTTTGGCTTTCAGAAAGCATTAAAATGTCTGCTAATGTTGCAATTTGGAGCTTACCAAGGTTTTAACAAAAGGGGTTTCTTGTTTTTGCTGGTCTCTAAGCCAAGTAAGTCTTGCTTTTGGAAGGCTGTCTAGGAAGAAGCAGATCCATCATTATGTTTTGCCTGGGTGATTTAATTGTATTTTCTGAGTTACCTTTAGGTTGTCTTGAAATATCTTGTCACAATGCATCATCCTTCTTGTGCAACAAAATCCTACAGCTGTTCTGCACAACTGCAGCAGTTTCAAAATAAGTTTGGGCTGTTGTGTTGAAACTGGCTGGGTTTTAGGTCCGTAGTGCTGTTTTTCTGGATGGAATCTCTGTGGAACAATGCTACGGTTCACAATTCACTAAACCTATCAAAATTGGTGCTTTCTGATCTTTATTTGTAGCAGGAATTTCACTTTTATGTATGGAACAGACCATTGCATAGAGAATTTATGGGACACCCTTTTGGCAATAATTTACTTAGTTTAAAGTTCTCATTTATCACTGCTAGGTCAAGTATCATGACATTCAGCAGATTTAGGCTGCAAAAGTATGTCTCCCTACCTTGAAATGAGCCCTATTGAAACCAGTGGGACTTGTCTCTGACTACAGGATTGCATTGAAAATGGTCTTGATTTTGGATTTTACACATTCAGTTCTTCACAGCATCTATGTCCAAATGAACATATTAGGAATTTTGTCTTAATAGTGAATACTTGCAGATAAGTCTTAATGATTTCAATGGGAGTTTAAAGTAACACTGCTCTACTATACACACTTGCCTCCAAGTAAATACTATTGACACCATTAGGAGTTACTTCTAAGTAGATCTTTACAACATCATGCTCAGTGTGTGCTTAGGATTTGTGGTGTGGCAAAGATTTCACAATCCAAAAAAGGTGGGCCCTTCGTGCATTGTGCTTTCCTGACATCTTCAAAGGGTTGTTAAAATGCTTCTTTTGTGCTTTAATCCCACCCTAGAAGGCCAGCCTCCTGCACAGCTGTTAGTTCCTCAAAAGTTTGTATTGATGAACTCACCAAACATTATTCCAAAATAAACACTGAGAACACTGTTTCCCTTTCTCTCGGTTTCTGACAGTTACTTTGCAAAAATGTTTGGCTAGGCTGTCAATAGAATTCATGGCAAAGGCTATGTAGCCTGAGAAGGCTTAGGGACGCTTTCCAGTATGACAATCTCAGTTGCAAATTGCCTGCAACGACATTTATTTATGAAAAAAGTTTTAAAGTCTTGCCTTCTGCAATCCAAAGGTAGTTCATAATAGCACTCCTCCAAATGAGTAAAACACAAGACAGCTCTAAAATTCTGCTGGGGAACTTTAAAAAACAGCATAAGCCTGAGGAAATGGTTGTGTTGGTAGCCACATAACTTTTGAGATAAAACAGTTTGTGTTCTAGCCAGAGAGAAGAAGAAGCTGGAGTAGTCTGCAGCTTTTCCTAGAGTGCCATCAGGCAACACTTTGTAACTGGTGTCATTACCTCTTGCAGCAAGGACGGTATGTGTACCATATTCCAAGCTGCTTGCATGCCTGGATATGAGTATACTGATATACTTCTGATGCTCTCTGCTCACCAGTCGATGACCTATCTTGTGCATGAGTCATTCTTATCCCAACAATTTTGAAAGCAACAATTCAAAATGTACTAACGTTTCCAAACTCTGATATTAAAGTTTAGGCAAGTAGATATGGGTTCCTCTGAGCAGAAGTTTTGCCTTGAAATGTAATATAGACACATAGTATTTTTGTTTGGGACTTTTAGAACATCTTTGTGTTGTAGGAGTTGAGACAAAGCATGTCCTTGTTTTGTTTTTGCAACTGTATGCCTACATTGGGATTAATTTCTCTCTCTTTCTCTTATTTGAACTTCCCTTTTCCAACTTTGTCAGTGACAGAGCAATCCTTATCCAAGAGGAGAAGGCTACTTCCAGGACTTCTTTAAACGGATGCCTGCTCTCCCTTGAGCAATGTTTCCAACAAACTTGCCCTTCATAGGCCAGTCCTTGTTTCCTTGCCTTTGGTAGCTCGGTTAGCTCTTGTTTAGACTAGTAAAACAGATCCATGGTTTGACTTGACCGGTCCAAGAGTCAGAATGATTTTCACTGAATGGTGAACATTTGGCTCTGTGAGTCTTCGACATCAACCTTGTGTCAGGCTCAATCCTATGGTACCTTCCTGGAGACAGTCCTAATAATGAGAATTACATCTGAGTAGACTTTACACAGGACTGTATAGGGTTAGTCTCATCAAAGTCGAGCTTTGCCCAACCTGGTGTTTTGAACTACAGTTCCTATCAGCACTGACCACTGCGGGAAATAGGAAGTTGTGTCTCACATTCTACTCCCAGACATCTGAAGGAATTTATATTGGGAAAGGTGGACAAAGTTTAACAGCTAATAATATAAGAGCCTTTTTATATTAGCTAAGCAGGTCTAGATCTGGTAGTTTCCTGGATAGGTGAGTACCTTGGAACCCACACAGACTACTTTGTGTTGTGTTGTGAAAGAAAGATGGGATGTAACTGAATAGATGATATTGGCCAAGATCTTGGTGCTAAGTGCAGTGGTTCTTAACCTTGGGGTTTTTTTGAACTGCAGCTCCCAGAAACCCCAGCCAGCACAAATGGTGGCAAAGGCTTCTGGGAATTGCAGTCCAAAAACACCTGGGTAACCCAAGGTTAAGAACCACTGGCTTAGTGTACTCATCTGTAGTTCAGGTAGGGCCATTGAATCAGTGGGGATTTGGTGAGTCAGTGCCTCCATAAGTTCCACTGATTCAATGGGCCCACTGTAATTGCAACCTACTACGTTAAGCAACAGAATACCAGCGAATTTCTGTTACTTTGGGGGTCCTGATGGGCAGAAAAACAAATAATTATAGCTACTGTTACTAATGATTGTTGGAGCACTTGAATTTTTAAAAAAGCACACTCACATTGGAGGAAGATGGATTTTCATGCCTAGTGTCTATTCTGCAATTTAATAATTAGCATTTGTATACCACAATGGAAAGTTCAAATTACCTCACATACATTGGGCTAGGAATTGTTATATGTGAATAGATCTGTTGGAAATAGTTTGATGTAAACTAACCACTACCAACTCCAATGTATTTTAAACCAATTTTTATTCATGTGATTTTTGTTTTGCTGTGCATGTTCATTTTGAAAATCATTAATCCAATATAAAGTAGGAGTATAAAAATGTTTTCGGAAACTAGACGTGATATTTTAAATGGTTTCATTAACCAGCATGTTAGCAGACCACATATCCTCCATTGTCTCAGCACATCGCTGATTATTGCAACCTTATCTTTCCCATTCATTTTCAGTGTTGTACAGTATACGGGTAACTTCAGTTTTTCAGGCATTCTTTGGAATGTGTGCATTTCTCTCTTAAAATTTTTTTTTGAAGTGACATAGCGACATAGTGACATTACTTCCTAAATTCACAACCAAGCAGAAACTAGGCAATATTTAATATGACAGACATTCACACAGTATAAAGAATCAATTTTATACACACATTAAATTAAAAAGCCCCAACCAGCTTCTTCCAAAAATATATAAAAAATTAAAAATTGCTTAGTGGCAAAAGAGAGAGAGAGAGAACCAGCTTCTTCCAAAAATATATAAAAAAAATTAAAAATTGCTTAGTGGCAAAAAAGAGAGAGAGAGCAGGTTTTGTGTAGTTGGGATTTTTCAGATCAATTTTAATTACAGAAAAACCCAATTCAAAAGCTGTTCTTATTGTCAGTGTAACTGTGCCCTCAGTTTAATTTTATTGAACTGGGGCTAGGCTAAGCCTGAAGCTCTCAGACAAGCATATGGCATAAAGACTTTCAAATGTGATCAAAGAACTTGCAAGCAACCAAACCCCAAAGCAGAATCCCATGGAAGTGTGTATGTTATTTAAATGTATATTCCAGCTTTCCGCATGAACGCACCTTTGGTGGGTAGCACTAGTAAAAAGGTTAAGGGGCCCAATTCAATTTTAGAAATCCTTGTGCAGACCAGCTACTGTAAACCTTGCTCTGGCATGCACCAGTAAAATATGATTTTGTAAGATTCAGTGAAAACAAGCATTGGCGTTTATAAACCAGGGTATAAAAATTGCAGCTGGTGAAGGTAAAAGTTGATAATCAGCACTAGGGGCTCATAATCAGTTTGGCAGGTTGAGCATGTCTACCTGCCAAAGGAAAATGATCAGGGAAGGAGTCTGAATAGGCTTCCCTGCTAAGATCATTCTGGAACCTGGGCCTAATTAACTCTCCTTAGGGTGAAATAGAGAGGAAGG